GAGCCTTGTTTAAGTGTTTACAATCTTAGAGAAAAGATAATAAATCATCAGGTGGTGGTGTTGCTTGTTATATTAACTTGAATCTAATTTGCACTCCCAGGTATGAAATGGACCATGAGGACCTGAAGTAAAATTTGAACATTCACATTCACTTTAGTTGATTTGCTGTTGTTTTGCGACGTCCTCATTCTTCAAACCGACTTCTTTTTTTGTAAAGCAGAACTTCAATTTGAACTAGACATTGAAATCGTCGAGAAGACGAATAATGTGATCTGCCGCTTTGATCGAGACCTAACACATGTTGAAACTTAATGGGAGATTTGCTCTTTTCTTGAAAATCGCCCAAACACACAATGAAAAGCACATATAGACATGAAATGATTGTTTGAATTATCTAAAGTAAGATGTTACTTTTACTTTTAATACATGAATAATCATAACTCTGCGATAAAGTGACAGGAAGAATAGTGAAGCATTAATCACGTGGTCTAGGTTCTCTTTAAACGCCCATTCCATAAAAATGCTATGCCAAATGCTGTTACTTCAAGCCAAGACATAGCCTTAGCCCTTGCGATAGTCCTCAGTTATGCGTCAGTCATTGGAATGCTCTTTCGATAACTACTCCAAATGTGATTTAATTGGCTTATGCCGAAAGGGTGGTGAGCGTCGCATCGCGGCGCGTTGACTTGAACGCGACCATTCGTCGAAAGCCCCCCCCCCCCCCCCCCCGTTTTGGCCGAAAGGGTGCGTTGACTAGTCCTCCACATCAATCGTTTATAATATAATTTACGGAATAGTAATTGAAGTCGTTTAATTAAAATAATAAAGATAGAAACAGATTAAAAATTAAATAAAACTAGTTTTTACGTAGTCTTGCAGATCAGGCGTTTATAAGAATTACATCAATTAATGAATTCAATAAATATTTTTTTAAAGGCCAAATAAAAATAATATCCATTTCTTTCTATGTATAGAATTCTCTTTTGATGGAAACTTGTTATGCTTAACATTCTTTACAAATGAACTTACAAATAAATACATAAATAAATAACGGAGTAGGCCTACCACCTTAATGCACCCTTTTGGGATAAGCGGGTGGGGGGGGGGGGCTTCTGAATTCCATACATAGAAAGAAATGGATGATTTTTTTTTCGTTATTTTAATAAATAAACGACTGATATGCAAGACTAGGTAAACACCTTTATTAGACATTTTAGATATGATAATCATTGTAAATAATTTGATTGTGATGATTGATTGATTGTGATGATCATCACATTATTGTTGATATAAATGTATTTATTTATTCATACATATTTATACAGGTACACAAGATCAGTAATAAATCTGTTTTACATATTGGACCTGGTATTAAAAGCATAGTATAAAAAGTAGTAACAACGAGAATTCAGTATTCAGAATTCAAGTATAACAAAGTAAAATACAAAATAAATACAAAGTAATACAAAATATGGTAACATAACAATTCAGGTCCATATCAAAAATGATTATGAATGGTGGCTACATATAACAATATCAAGTAGAAGTTAAAAGAACAAAAATATAGTCATATATGCAAATGCAAGGTTTAAGCTTAAGGGTTGGGGTCATTACAATGGATTCGGTTTTGAATTTTTGTACAATAATTTGAAAACATCCAGAGACTGAGCATTTTGAAGGTTATTTGGTAAGAGATTCCATACTTTAGCACCGGAATATTTCAAAGACTGACAATAGAGTTGAATGTTTGGTTTAGGCGGCACAACATTAAGGGAATTGGCACTACGTGTATTCAGTCCATGTCTGTCAAAATACATTTCAATCTCATTGCATAAACGGGATGGTGCAAGACCGTGGACACATTGGTACATTAGTGTAGATAGAAAAAATCACATCGATCCTCAATTGTTTGCCAAGACAGATTTTTCATCAGATCAAGACCAGAGATATTAGTATAATCATAATTACTTGTTACATGACGAGCTGCCCTTTTTGGAGTCTCAATAGGGGTAATTTTAATTTATTAGGACAGTTACCCCAAACTGAGACACCGTAATCAAGACAAGGTTGAATAGTAGATTTATATATCGTATTCAAAAGTGTCATGTTTAAGAATTTTCCTAATTTTCCAAGGCAATAAATCTTGTATGCAACTGACTTACATAACTATCTTAAATAATCATTCCATTTCAGGTTTTCATCAATAATAATACCTAAGTACCTAATAGAATGGACTTGTTCGATGAGTTCATGGTCAATGTAAATATTTAGACATTCTGACGACTTAGTCAAAATTAACATTGTTTTGGTTTTACTTATATTTATCTTAAGACGGTTCCTTTTATACCAACTATTTAAAACATTCACTGTATTTTGTAAATTAAGAGTAACATCATGAATATTATCACCAGTAACATAGATAACTACATCATCAGCATAGATAGAGCACACTGCATTATTAAGACATTCAGATATATCATTGATAAATAATAATAAGAAGAAGACAGGGGCAAGTACACTACCCTGTGGTACCCCAACTAATAATTCCTTTATAGCTGAGTTCTTACCCTTGGAACAAACTAGTTGTTTTCTTCCAGTAATATAACTTGAAAACCATTTCAACTCTTTATCATATATGCCATATTTCTCTAGTTTAAATAAGAGTAAATCATGATCAACGCAGTCAAAGCATTTGGATATGTCAAGAAAGCATGACCCAACAAATTCCTCCTAATTAAGGGATTCATGAAAATTGTCAATTACACGGTGTAGGCAGGTAATTGTAGAATGATGAGGGAGAAATACAACATGACTCTTCCCAATTATTCTGTAGTTCATCACAATCGTTCATCTCGTGATGGTCGAATTTGCACCATACATAGTTCATATATAACCATACAGAAATTGGACCATTCAGGCTTCTCATCTTTTGAGCTTACGTACTTGTCTGTACTGTGCGAATGACACAACAAATTACCAGCTAATACCCGCAGTGCTTGTACGATTCAAAATTTCAAATCCAATTTGACAACTTTTTTCACAGTATCTTAGAAATGTGCTCAATAATATGTTTACCTCTCTTTCCTTTTCTTTATTTGTTCAGGGTTCGTGCGGTTCTGTATCCCTTATAACATCCACTGAATATGAATTCTAAATGTAAATTGAATTTATTAGACTCGAAAATATATTATACATGTTCAGTTACATCGTTTATGTTTTGTTTAATAAAATGTTTATATTGAGTTTATATAGTTCTAATTTCCCCATGATTCTATAAAATATCTGATTTTTATGTACACTGTCGCTCATATAGGTGGAATATTTTTGTTTTACCCCAATTTATTGAATTATTTTAAAAATAATTTAAAAATAATAGATCTAGATAATAGTATATATTCCCAGATTTTATTGAATTATAATTTGCCAATGTGTGTTTTGCCTGACTGCTAAAGCATGTGTATGCTACTATGCTTATCAAATAGGGGACCTACGCCCTTAAGTCATAAATGACAGTAATGAGGATTAATGCCCCACAAAAGGGCACTAATGTAGCACATCGACACGGTTTTGATCCTGGGGCCTCACAGTTACGAGGCCATTGATGTGTCACTGAACCATGACTGTGCGCAACGGGGGCCAGGGTAGGGGACAGTTTCCATTTTTAAAAAAACAGAAAATGCAATAAATTTTCAATAATTTATTGCATTTTACCCCTGTTCCCAACATAACAAATTCTCTGTGTGCCCATGCCTTGAGCCATAATGCATGGCCGTTCAGAGGATTTTTGTTATGTTGGGAACCGGGGTAATATGCAATAAATTTTTGAAAATTGATTGCATTTTCTTTTCTTTTTTGATTTATGGAAACTGCCCCCTACCCTAGTCCCCTCTGCGTACAGTCATGTTTCAGTGACAAAGCAATGGCCTCGTAACTGTGAGGCCCCAGAATCAAAACCGTGTCGATGTACCTTATTAGTGCCCTTTTGTGGGGCATTAATCCTCATTACTGTCATTTATGACTTAAGGGCGTTGGTTCCCTAGTTGATAAGCATAGTAGCATACACATGCTTTAGCAGTCACGCAAAACACACATTGGCAAATTATAATTCAATAAAATCTGGGAATATATACTATTATCTAGATCTATTATTTTTAAATTATTTTTAAATTATTTTTAAAATAATTCCATAAATTGTTGGCTTGGAAAAGCATGTCACATATGCACACACGAAACTGGTCATACCTTGGATATCATTTTATCTGATAAAACTAGTTTGGCGGTAAATGGCTTCTACATGCGCAACTTCGGCTAGCTTGCTTTGCTATCATTTTACCCTTCCATTTCACCCCTGCATGCTCTTACCTTCCTTCTGCATGTAAGCTATCATCTTTGCTCTTCTATATCCTACCTTTCATTCTACCTCTGAGCTGCCGTATGTACTGGCAAATACCATCTAAGCCCATGAGCCCATAATCGCCTCTCTACTAGCAACTCAAACTCCCACAGTCTGGGAAGGAAAACCCTAGCGTGAAACCAGCAAGAGTTCTCCTCTTGCTTTATTAGTGTATTAATTCACAATGTCAATAGAGAAGGAAAACTCATGACAGCTTTTAGAACAAAACCATACTGTAGGAGTTGCATCCACAGATATTATAAGCAAATGAAAAACTATGATGGCACAACCTAACAACACTAGGGTTAAAGTCCCTAACATAACATATCCTGGAGCAGGCATCGATTCCTTAGAATTTCATGACGGCTTGCCCTCAAAGCCTTATGGAAGGGGTAAGTCTGATGAAGGTGTCTGTAAAGGAAGACCATTTTTAAGATGTAGAAAGACAGTAATTGTATCAACTATGAATGTGAGAACTATTAGGGAGCAAAGGAATAGAGAAGAGCTATCAACCAATGTAACAGCGCAGAACATTGATATTTTGGGAGTACAAGAACATCGAATAGTACATAATGAGCCTATCAGATATGAGAAAGTTCTAAGCAACATGCTTATAACATCATCTGCAAACAGAAGTTCAGTCGGAGCTGCAATAGGAGGTGTTGGATTACTACTAAGTACCAGTGCATATGACTCCCTAGCAAGCATGAGATCACATTCTGACCGAATACTCATCGCAAACTTTCAAGGAAACCCTGCAACTACAGTCATTACAACCTATTGCCCAACGAACGTAGTGAACGAGGATATCATTGAAGGACACTATGACAATTTAAGAAGAGCAATTGACTCCATTCCGGCACACAATGTTCTTCTTGTGGTTGGAGACTTCAATGCCAGAATTGGACCTGAGGATGCTAAATATACTTACCATGAAACAACCAACAGAAATGGAAAGTACTTAGTGGACATGGCAGTTGAAAAGAACCTAGTTATAGCAAGTGGTCAGTTCTGTAAGGAGAAAGGGAAATTGTGGACCTATATTAGCCCAGGTGGAAGTAATTGCCAACTGGATTATATACTAATAAGGAAAAAGTGGAGGAACAGCTTGAATAATGCCAAGGCGTATAGTACTTTTGCCAGTGTAGGATCCAACCATAGAATAGTATCTGCAAGAGTCCGTTTGAGCCTTTGTAAGAGCAAAACCTTGGCAAAAGGAAAACAGCACGATTGGAAACTTCTCAGCACTGACAAAGACCTACAGAAGCTATACAGCATTGAAGTCCGCAACAGGTTCCAGCCCCAAGAAAAGGAGGAAGAATCAGCTACCGAGAGGTATGAGCGATTCATAACAGCGGATAAGGAGGCTACTGAGAAAGTTATCCCAGTGAAAAAGAAGACAAGAAAATTGCATTTTCCCAACGATACACATTAGTGCTAGAAATAAAATCAATAAAACATACATGGAGTACCAGAAAGATACAACTTATGAAAATCGACAGATCTACAAGCAAACCAAGCAGAACCTTGAGGAAGCATACAATGTAGTTATAGAAGAAGATCTTGATAGTAAACTAAAAGATGTGGAGAGAGCGCATGCCAACAGTTAACATGGGCAGAGCTGGAGACTCATTAATGACATAACTGGAAGGAAAGCATCCCCGAAAGTGCAGTTAAAAGGAGACACACAGAAAGACAGGGTCATAAACTGGTTCAATCACTTCAAGAATCTTCTTGGAAGCCCTCCTGACATAGATGATGAGGATGAAGAAATTCTGCCTATACTAGAGAGTCTGAACATCAAGACAGGGCCATTTGATCTGAAAGAATATTCAAAGGCAATAAAGTCACTAGTAGAAGGGAAGAGCTTTGGGGAAGATGGCATACCACCGGAGGTTTTAAAAAGATGTGACCTTGATGAAATCATTCTGAGTTTCTGCAACAACGCACTGATCAATGAAGAAAAGCCTCACCAATGGTCCATACTGAACATCGTACCAATACCAAAGTCTGGAGACCTGAACCAAGGAGGAAATTATCGAGGAATCAGTCTAAGCTCCATCGTGGCCTAAACTTTCAATAGATTGATTTTGAACAGGATCAGACCTGTACTTGATAGTCACCTGAGAACCAACCAAAATGGATTCAGAGTTGGAAGGACCACAGTGGGACATATTTTGGCTCTTCGCAGGCTTATAGAAGGAGTAAAAGAAAATCAATTACCGGCTATTATCACATTTATTGACTTTCGCAAAGCCTTCGATACCATCCACAGAGGCAAGATGTTGAAGATCCTTACTGCATATGGCATACCGGAGCAACTGGTGAATGCTATTGGCAAGATGTACGAGGACACCAAAGCAAAAGTAATATCACCTGATAGAGAGACTGACCTCTTTGAAATCCTGGCAGGTGTGCTTCAAGGTGACACGCTTGCACCTTACCTAAATGTAATAGTCCTCGATTATGCCTTGCGAACAGCTATAGACGGCCATGAAGAGAAACTTGGATTCCAACTGGAAAGAAGGAGAAGTAGGAGAGTTGGTCCGGTAATCATAACAGACCTAGATTTTGCCGATGACATAGCCCTGCTATCTGAGGAATTAGAGCAAGCCCCAAAACTGCTGAGCAGGGTGGAGACATCGGTAGGCAAGGTCGGGCTCCGGATGAATCTAGGCAAAATCAAGTTCATGTCATTCAATCACAGGGAGATCATCACTATAAAAACAAATGATGATATTCAGTTGGAGAATGTCCCTGGTTTCAAGTACCTGGGAGCACTGATGGTGAGCACAGAAAAAGATGTGAAAGCTCGTAAGGCAGCAACATGGAGAGCGTGTAGTAAGCTTGGAAGAATCTGGAAATCCTCTCTTCCCAGGCCGTTCAAACAACGTTTGTTTGCTGCTACAGTTGAATCCGTGCTGCTATACGGCTGGGAAGCATGGACAGTAACAACAAAGTTGGCAAAAGAATTAGATGGTTGCTACACCAGACTGCTTAGGACAGCATTCAACGTGCACAGGAGTCAGCATATGACAAATAAAGAGCTGTACGGGAAGCTACCAAAAGTATCAGAAAAGATCAGGGAAAGAAGACGTTTACGTTTTGCAGGCCACAGCTATAGGAACATCAATGAACCAATATCTCAGCTTCTACTCTGGAAACCTAAACACGGGAAGAAGAAACATGGAAGACCTCATCTTACCTATACAGACCTACTCAAGAAGGATACGGGACTAGAAATGTCAGAGGTAAAAGCAGCCATGCTGGACAGGAATGTGTGGAAGGCCATCACAGCTCGGGCAGTGGACCCGACTTAAGCAAGTAAGCAAGCAAAACTAGTTACTTGGTTACTAACTTTGATTTGAAGTATGGACTACCATCAGATCACAAAGCTATTCTCATGGTGCTAAAATCTTAGCGTCCCTAGGCTCAAAAGAAGTTCATCCGGGGCCGAAAGCTTTGTGAGATAAATCGTCATGATTTCAGGAGTGACATTTTGAGTTCCAACCTCCAACAATATAGCTCTGAGGATCCATTGCTGCTCGCAGACAAATTTGGTAATTTAATGCGTGAACTTTTAGACAAACCTGCACCAGAGCGCATAATCCCCGTTTCTCTTCGACCGTCTGCCCCTTGGTTCAACGATAAAGTTCGAGAGGCGAAACGGCATCGTCGTCGAGCTGAGCGTAAATGGACGTCTTGAAATACATAGTCAGCTTTATCGTGATCAGTGTTGCTCTTACAACCAACTTCTGATGCAATCTAAGTCACACTACTTAAAGATAAACTTGAGTTCTGGTAAAAAAGAGAAAATTAATTCTCACAGAATCAAACGAAACTTACACTGAATGTTCAAGATTACAAATAAATGACATGTGCCAAACAATTTTGGAAGAAAATGAATACTGGCTGAGTAATGAGCATAGAAAGACAAGGAAATCAAGCTAGTACCAGCCCCGACACCATGTGTGTTGTCCTATATATAGCTTTCCTGTGTACAGTGCTTGTTACTTTACCAAGACTCGGTCCAATTTATTATGATTTTGATGACTCCAGAACCTTGCAGTGCACACCAATACTTACATGCGACATGATCAACTGTTTCTGATTCTTTCCACACCTTTCTTTCACAATGCAATCGCATTACCAGTACTAAAGTTTATCTTTAACATCAACCGTACAGGTGTCGTGGTCGAGTGGATATGTCACCGGACTGTGGATCACACGGTCCGCAGTTCAAGTCCTTCCGCGGCACTAATGTCCTTTGGCAAGACATTGATCTACATTTGCCACTCTTCTGCAGTCAAGTTCAAGTTCAAGTTTTATTTCCACATGTGGTTCATAAAAAACAAGTATATATACATGTTCAGACATATAAAAAAAATACACAATTAACAAACAATAATATTAAGAGAAACAAATAACGAACAAAATCTAAAGTCCATAAACAAAAACAACTAAATACATGTAGATATAAAAATAAAAAAAACACGTGGGGGACCAACAAAGGCCAGGGGTCTGTCGAGGCTAATCCCCAGAACAATAGTAGATATTTTGGATATTTTATATATTAAAAAAAAAAAAAAAAAAAAAAAAAAAAAAAAAAAAAACCACAAACAATAGCGACGTACAGTACATGATAAAACAAAATTAAGTTGGCAAATTAAACAGGCAAACAAAAAAAATTATATTGTACCACTATAAATTTGTGAATTGTTTTTATGTAAAAATATACAGTTTAAATTTACGTTTAAAATTAGAGAGTGTCGGACTGTTCTTAATCTCCACTGGTATTGAATTCCAGGATTTTACACCAGTGTAAGAAATTGTTGTTTGAGAAAAATTATATTTATATAACGGCAATCTTAAGTGATTTGAATTTCTGGTACTATGGCTATGAATTGTACAATTTGAAGTGAAATAATTATTAAAACCATCTGGTAAAATGTTCTTAAAATAGTAGTACATAAAAATTGCAACTTGCAAACTACACATTTGATCCACCTTTAAAATACTCAACTGTTGAAATAAAGGGGTTGTGTGGGCAAATATCAAATTGCAAATAACTCGCTTCTGGAGTACTCCAATTCTATTTCTAAGATACATTGCACTGTTCCCCCATACAATATTGCAATATGATAAATGAGGTAAAATCATTGTGTAATACAGGGTTAAAAGAATCCTCATTGGAACAACAGTTTTTAATCTATTCATTACCCCTACGGCTTGAGTAATTTTTGAAAAAATATCATCAATATGTAATTTCCATGTTATTTTATCATCAATTGTAACTCCTAAAAATTTTGTTTGTTTAACATTAAGAAATCTCCAATAAATATTTGTATTAAGTCTTTATTAATGAACTTATTCTTAGGCTTGAATATCATGTCACAAGTATTTACAGCCAATCGATTAGTAAAGAACCACCTAGTAACATTTTTCATTTCTACGTTCAATACATTATTAACTTCTGCTACATCATTACCTGAAATAAAGAGACTTGTGTCATCGGCAAAGACAATTGAGTATAATACATCACTAATAAATTGAAGATCATTTATGAACAATAGAAATAATAGGGGCCCCAAAACAGATCCCTGGGGCACACCAACAGATACATTACATAAATCAGATTTCGTGGTTGTCTATTTGTAGAATTTGTAGAATTTGTAGAATTTTATTGGCTCTTTGACCCCCTCTCGGTGTATGAGAGTACAAACAAACATAAAAGTATAAATAACAATGTATGACTTATGAATACAATTCACATACATTATACATAGATAATGACACAAAGATAAAAACGATAAAAGGTATATAGTGTATGAAAGTAAAAACATGAACAATGAACCAACTAGTAAACACAAATACATGTACATGTACATGTACAATGAATGTAGATAGTGACAAACTGACAATAATAAAAGGATAAGTATAATGCAGTCTATTTACGAGCTAAATAGTAAACAAAGTAGGCTGTTTCACTATCCTACCGCTACGAGTACGTGTAGGTTCAGCTCTAATTGTACTTCTTGAAATGCTTGAACTATCTTCTTTCTCTGTTTTTTGATTAAATTTCAACATAATAAGTCGGGTAAATCTCCCTAAATTCTTCAACTGAGAAGTGCTTCTAGTTTTAAAAAGTTCTGCCATGTGCATAGCACTTGGGACCTTAGACTTACAACACTTTTTTGATAAATATAAACATCTCTCTCTTTGAAAAAACGGACAAACAAAAATATAGTGAAATTCATCTCCTATATCAGTGGACAGGCAGAGTGTGCACTGCATATCACAATGTGGTGTGTTCGCATCAAACCGACCTTTGTTTACAGGTAATTTATGTGATCTACACCGAAACTTACAGAGAGTAAAAGCATCAGTTTTATTTAGGGTGAGTAAATAGCTGTCAAATATATGGTTGCCTTTAAATATCCTATAATTTGTGCAAATGCGATTTGACCATACTGCATCTCTCCATTCCTGACCAAAAATATCATTTAGTCTCAGTTTTAGCAAAGAATTAATATTTAAGCCAAATCCATTCTTTTGGCCTAGCCAAATAATGGATAGACCAGCTTGATTAAATGTGTCTTCAATAAATTTTAACCATGAGGAAGTAAATTCCAAATGTTCATCTTTATGAATGGCAGAAATGAATTTTAAAAGGACATATGAATATTTAGTATCTTTACCTCTCAAAATTCTTGACCAAAAATTCTACCCTTCACATGATTCAAAATCAAACCTCGTCCAGTTTCTCCATAAACCATACAGTCTGGAGTATATGAACCTACAGATAATAACGTTCTGAGGAATTTCCTATGGAAAACTTCAATCTGCTTTATATCTTCATGTCCCCAGACTTCACTACCATGCAATAAGATAGGCAAAATCAAATGGTCAAATAAATGACATTGAATATCAACTGACAACTGCAATTTCTGCGCTTTAGTCAACATACTGTATAACGCTTTTCTAGCCTGCACTATCTGCTTTGCCATTGCCTTTTTGAAAGTACCATTATAATTAAATTGTACTCCGAGATAAGCTAAATCATATACCACAT